TATTATTTTTTTTATTGCAAGCGTCTAAAGGCTTTGGTGGCCGCTTTCCATCAGGCGGGCCTTGTTGCTTGTTTGCCACCCTTTTAATATAAAAAAAATCCAAAATAAATATCTGATTTTTTTTAAACACACACCAATTAGCCTAGCCCCAAAGTAAGCATTGCAGGCTTGTGTTATGGGATACTATGGTAACGGATAGAATACATACACTATAGTATAAATATAAATATTTTTATATAGAAATACATATTAAACATCCATGACTGGAGTACAAATGCTCGTATTTATCACACAAACATCTGCCCCCACGGGGATTCGAACCCGGGATTTCTCGAGTCGGCAACACCATGAAACCCGGCGTACACACCACTCGACCACGGAGGTCGTCAAAATTCAATCAATCAATGAATTTATATTTACATACCGAGTTAATTTCTAGTTACTAAAGTAGAATACACTTTCAAATAAATCACCTTATACGTAAGAGCCGTCGAAAAGTGAAAATATAATAATAAATTCAAAATACAAAACAAATGTCAATAGCGAAGAGATGTCGCTGCCTTGCAGGTTAAGGCTAGGAAAATTTCGACGCGGCCATCAGGGCCGTGGTAGCATAATTGGTCAGTGCATTCGCTCGGATTGCGAAGGGTGCGGGTTCGAGTCCCGTCCGCTGCCTGGTCCGGGTGGATTTTTTTTCTAGTAAAACTTTTCTTTAGATTTAAACATCTAGCATTTAAATGCTTAAAAAATAGAAAACATAACCAAATGTCATTACTTAGTAGAAATATAATAATATACTAAATACACAATTATAAAGTATATTACTTATATAGAATAGTATGCGGCGTTAATTCAACAATGATTACATTTAATTTGGTTTTCGAAAACAACAGAAATGTCTAGTTTTTTCATTTAAGATTTTTATTGTTAGCACTATTTATACTAAGCATCAAGCCGTCACATATGTTTCTTTAGTTCCCAGTACAACATATAATGTTATATGACACTAAAGATAAATAAATAGATGATATATTTTGTAGTTATTTGACACTAAAAGTAAATAGACGTTTTATTTTAAAGTAATTAATTAATATGAATAAGTTTACTGATCTGTTAATGTTCGGCATTAAATGTGAATATAACTTTAAGTGCTTTCTTATAATAAGCGTAAATATCTTTGCCCGTAACTTTACAACTTGCTAACCGCTAAGTGGGTACTTATAAGGTTAAACTTTACCGTCTTTACCGTATTAAGGAGCTCAATGGTGCAAGTGGTTAACGCGTTCGGCTGCGATCGTTGAAGTTAAGCAACTTTCGCAGTGGTCGGTCATTGGATGGGTGACCAAAAATGTACTATCTCGAGCTCCTCCGTGCTTCGGAAGGCACGTTAAGCCGTTAGTCCCGGCTGCATCTGCAGTCGTTAGCACCCACCAATCCGCACTGGGCCCGCGTGGTGGGTCACGGCCCAAACTCTCTATTCCTGCCAGAGAATGCCTGTGCCCCAGCATTAATAGGCTGATGATGATGATGATGTAGTTAATTTACTTCACCTCCTAAGGTTAGATGAGCTAGTATTTACGACTAGAGTACACTAGGTATCCCAAAGCTTTTGCCAATAAAAATATTAAATTTTAAAAGTTATAAATTAAGTTCTTAATCAATAGGGGTGATGACGGGGTACAGTAAACAAAATTCTATTTAGTCCGTCAGTTAGATGATCGAAAAATGATGGACACGTATTTTTTCTTTGGGCAATCAACCAAAAAATGACAGTTATAGCGTATCAAAATTTCGGAGTAGGGGCTCGTGACGTCACTTTGAAGTGCAAATTGTACGAAAGCGTGACGTCATGCGACTTTTCAAATCAATATATCTTTGCAATGTTTATATTATGTGAAAAAAGAAAAAATATGTGTCCAATACTTTTTGATAATCTACCTGATAAACGAAGAAAAAAAAATAGTCATCATCCCTATTGAGAACATTTCATTCCCAATATCTTTTGGTGAGCTTAAATGGTGTTTATCCTTCAAAAGATTATGGGGTGATACCAATCTTATCATTCTTTTAAATAATAAACATTTATTATTGACGACCTCCGTGGCCGAGTGGTTTGTACGCCGGGTTTCATGGCTGTCGCCGACTCGAGAGGTCCCGGGTTCGAATCCCGATGGAGGCAGATGTTTGTGTGATGAATACGTGCATTTGTACTCCAGTCATGGATGTTTAATATTTATTTATATAAATATACTTATATATGTACAGTATATGTATTCTATCCGTTACCCTAGTATCCCATAACACAAGCCTTACAGTGCTTACTTTGGGGCTAGGCTAATTGGTGTGAGTGTTGGAAATATTTATTTATTTATTTATTTTATTTATTCGAAGCTGAAAACACATGTATTAAGTGTCTAAATAAATCATATTAGCTTAATAGCTATATATGAGATTATGTTTGGTACACTAGTGATGCACTGGTGTCACAATAGTACAATGGGTTTAAACACAGGTTAAAATATGCGTGTCGTACTTGAATGGAATAACATTTAAAATAAAATCATTTTATGGGCAAAGAACGGCAAAATACACATGTTCTTATAATGTGCCCTTTTTGAAACACCTACTGGCTAAAGCCCGCGGTTTCGCTCATATTAGATTTGATATTCGGTGTATTAATGAATGTCAAACTTAGTGCTCCATACAAACTTGAATCCCCGTTTGACCCCTTCAGGGAGTGAGATTTGAAATATCCTTACTTAACGCATGCCTACATCATAAAATATACATGTAACATGTAACATTAAATCTAAAGAAAAAAATACTAGAAAAAATTCCACGCGGACCAGGGACTCGAACCCGCACCCACCGCTATCCGAGTGGATGCACTGACCATTATGCTACTGCGTCCCTAATATCCGTGTAGAATTTTATCTAATATTTTTTAGGCTGCAAGCCAGTGCCAACTCTTCGCATTGTAGGAAACTCACAATGATAGATTTAAACATCTAGTTTCAATTCAATCAATTCGTTCAGTTGTTTGAGCTGTACATTGACAGACCAATTAGTCAGACACAGTTGCCTTATATATATATATATATATATACATATATATATATATATATATATATATATACATATATATATATATATATAGATTATTTTATTATCCCTCCGATTCCTGTCGGCCTAGGTACGTCTTCGTCGTCTTGGATCACTTGACGACGAAATCACCCGCGCTAACGCGCCTCCGATTCCTCCCAAACAGGCCACAAGCACCAACACTACACAGCTAGCAAACTTGCACACTAGCTGAGCATTAGGCAGACACCGCACCCGTAGGATAAGAGTGCGAAGACCCGGTATACACACGACACGTTATACTAGGGACAGGCACCTCGGCGGCACAGGCACCACGGCGTTTCTCCCCGCAACGGCTAACTAGAGCCAAGGTCCGAGTCTCACAGACGCCCTCTAGTTGAGCCGACCTCAGGTTCGAGTGATCTAGGGGCTCCAGCCGGAGAGGAGACTCCCCATTGGGGAGATTTGATCCGCCTGGAATACCGCTCTAGAGGCACTTGCCAATGCTCGGTTTGAGGTCCCCTTAGGATCTCGCCGTCCCCAAACCCGGTGACGCTGTAAAGGTCATCCGCGACCAACAGCATACACACTCAAAAAAAAACTTTAATTTGTTGGTATAGCATCAAAAAAATACACAACCTACGAAAATGTAGAGCTTAGTGACAGGCGAAGTCATAACAAAGGCCTATTAATCTTTTGTGAATACTTGCTTATAGGCTACTAACCCTTAGTTATAAGTTATATTGTATACTAACATATGGATCTGTGTTATCTAACAATTAATATATTATTATTATTGTTATTATTATTATTAATCGGACCCTTAGTATAGTTTAAATACGGATCCCATAAAAAAGGAGAAAACGGCAACTGCTCTTTTTCGCGTTCATTTAGTTAAAAACTATCATTGAATAGATTCGTTTTGGAAACCGTTGTAATTTACATTAAGAAATTACGGTTCAATTACTCTTTGTAATTCTTTTGTTTTTTTTTATATAATATGAAAAAATACTACTCCTTCTTTTTAGGCTTAATATGAATGGCAGCACAGCGGTTAGTGCACTCGCCCGGACAGCATAAGAGGCAAGTTTGAATCCTGCCTGATACCTTAACCGATTTTTTTTAATTTTCTTTAGATTTACAAATGATTAAAATAAAAAATAAAAAAACCTATTATGAACTGAAAAGTATGGAAAATAATGATAACATCCTGTCTAGTTACAGAGTCAGCTCCATATTAATGGTCCATAAGAGCTATTCTAAGGTAAAATTCAATAAATATCAATAAACAATCTTCACGTATATTTTTAATTTAAAATAATAATTATATTTTACCTTTTTTGGCATGAACTTTCATAAAAATTAAGGTTAATATACCAAATTTGCTGCAAAGTTGTTTGCTCTACCTATATTCTTATTTAGATAATTAATAAGTAATGTTTATATATATATATGTGTGTGTATATACATTACAAACTATGTTTATTTCTATATCCTTTTTGGATACTCCTGAATCCAGAGAAAAAATTACTGTGCCTATTACAAAACGCGAAACTTTCGTATATATTAATAATGATTATTATTATTAACCATTTAGTGTTATAACCAAATTTTTATAAATCGGTAGTACAAATAATTATTTTTATTGATAGTAAACTCACAGTGAGATTTGTTTTCTCTCAAGCTTCAGTGTATGTCACTATTGCATACAAAAGACATCAACGATACATCATTTTAATTTTATACACTAACATTACTATAATCACAACCGAAACTCAAAGCATAATTTCATCATTGAAAAGTAATTTCAATCATTTAAGCCACAATGTTTTTATTTACAAGCAAACAAACAAAACAAATGAAATCAACAAAAAAACCTAACGTATTAACTAAAATAACAACACTATTTTTAATCTCACCATTATCAAAAGTTGTGAAAAACATCCAATGGTATAAAAAGTTATTACGAATAAAATTTAAGAGCACTTCACTTGAATTTGACATACAGGTTCCGGTGAAGGAATCGTCAAATTACACTCGCGTCTCTCGAAAGCGTGCGTGCGCGGCGCCGGTGTATAGCGACTGACGTAGATTGCGGCTGAGACGATCGACGCGTGAGAGGAAATTGCTAACGTGATCGACAATAATTTTGATATTAGAATTAATGTTAAAATGAAAAATTGATCTAAATTGGTGTGAATGATTTTCTTGTCAGTAGTAATAGTTTTTTTTTTATATATTATGTTCAGATAGGCAAATGACTCTACCCCACCTGATGTTAAGTGGTAATAAAGTCCAAACGCGAAGATGGCTGGTACAGCAGTTATTCTCATCTTGCCGGCCTGCAAAAATGCTTCTTTACGCTTCTCTTAAAGGAAAGAGTTGAACGGCATAGCGGTTTTCCCTCTTGAGTTGGAGCACCCGCCTGGGGAAGGAACCTTCTCTTTACAGAAGACTACAGATAAATAGCACTACCTTTTGGGTGTCTTGTATTTCTGCTGGTGAGTTGGGTTCCAGGGGTTCATTGGGCAAGGGGATTAGGTTTACGCCGGTAAGGTTAGGATAGCTCGCGCGGCCATTCAGAGACGGGTTTTGCGACCACACTCGCCCTTTCAGCACGCACTAGGGGAACCGCGGTCCTCATAGTGCGTGACGGTGCAGGAGTATTGTCTGGTTTTTAGTGGCCCTGTTCATGGCATAGGTAGGGCCCTGTTCACATCAGCCAGCTCCAGGGCTGGCTGAAGGGGACAGGGAGGAGTCCTACATACCTTCTCTCGCTCCCCCAGTCGTTGAAGGATGCGTAAGGCATTTTCCAGACATAAAAAAAAGGTTAGGATAGCTGGACACACTTTCTGCATGACTGGACTCTACTTCACCACACTCTTAACATTAGATGGAGTGGGGAAATTTGCTGCGCCTCTTAAAAAAAATACCAGAGTGACTGGCGCAGAATACAGCTGATATGATGGTAACATAAGAGGAAATCTCAAAGTATTAAGGTGCAAAGAACTGCCAAGAATTATTGTTGATATTAGGATCGATATGATAACAAAAATAATTTAATAAGAAATTTCAGGTTGAAATAAGCTGTGCCCCTTATTTTGTAATCTCTTTCTATTTATTATATATTTGTGTGTACAAAATGTATAAATAAATAAAAAACAATAAAAATATTTTTTTGTAGTACTCGTACTTATATCTAACATTCGATGCAGCCGTGATGATGATTCAGGAAATCAATAACGCGAACTAAGCTCTAAAGTGTACACACTAATGCCGCTATTACATTTGGTCGTTAATCCGTATTCGGGTGCACGAAAGATATTACTCGAATTCGGACACCCAAAAGGAATATTTATTCCGGTATACAGTGTTGGGTAACAAAAGTAAATCTTCCCTAATACGGCCGTACTCCGTCGACTACGTTCACTTGCACTTCATCGTTCACTCGAATCCCATTAACACTCGTTCGGGCTAATGAGCAAGTGTGATGGTGGTTTTTTGTATGGTTTACATCTTTAAATTCAATATCATTTATTCAGGTAAGGCGGTTTTAAGCATTTTTTTTGAGAGAGGTAATCCAAGGTTCAAACGCAAGGATCTTCATACCGATGATCGGTCCTGCGCCACTCGCATCCATCGGCTTCCCAGAACCTTCACAAGATCGTCGGTCTACCTTGTAGGCGGCCTGCTCACTGAACATCGTCCTGTGCGTGGTCGCCATTCTAAAACCTTTCCGCCCCAACGGCCATCGGTTCTTCTTACTACGTGTCCCGCCCACTGCCACTTCAGCAGAGCAATCCCTCGAGCGATATCGGTTACTTTGGTTCTCCTAGGGAATTCCCCATTTCTGATTCTATCGCATAGGGAAATACCGAGCATCGCTGTCTCCATAGCTGGCTGTGTGACCTTGAGCCTTCTTCTGAGACCCGCAGCAGTTAGCTGTACTTTTCTGTAAAAACAAATTCACTTCTCACCGCGAATTGCGAGGTGAAACGTGAGTTTGTTTCTGACAGAATTTGGCACGGCAGATGATTATGGTTTGACCACAGGTTCCCGGATTATATGCCCGGTAGAGACAATGTTAAAATATTAAAGTTCGAAATCTTTTTGTCTGCCTGTTTGTGATAATTTTCTGGTTGCAATTTCGTAACACAAGTGCTTTTTTTATTACTTTGGGTTAATCTTAATAAACTTGCACTTTATGTTACGTAACATTACTGTCACTAGTGTGTTACCATTTGGTCAAAATGGGAATTATTAAGTAGCTTTAAAACTATTATAGGTAGGTACTTTCCTAGCAATATTTAAAAAAATAAAAGAAAACCGTATGAAATGTTATAACGACACATTATAAAGATAATATCGTAATAGAATTAATGGACTTAACACGTAAGGTGCGCGGATATTTCAGACTTTTTCCTTCTTTGAACATAGATATCTTCTATATATATAGAACTCAAAGGTGACTGACTGACTGGCATAGTGATCTATCAACGCACAGCCCAAACCACTGGACGGATCGGGCTGAAATTTGGCAGGCAGGTAGATGTTGTGACGTAGGCATCCGTTACAAAAGGATTTTGATCAATTGTACCCCCAAAGGGATAAAATAGGGAATGAAAGTTTGTATGAAACTTTGTCAATTTTAAACCGATTGGGCTGAGACTTTGCATGCAGGTATAAGAAGAATCATAGATGAATGTCAGTGTGTATAATACAAGCCTGAAAACAAAAACTGTAGTCTACACTTCAGCTCTACACCAAAGCGAAGCGAGGGCGGGCCGCTAGTAATATATATAATGAATATAACTTCAGCAGCTACCAAAATTCACTATTTCCTTCTTTCAACATACATACAGGCTACCATTGTTTTGAGATAGACAGCGCATTTTCAAATTCAAATAAAAAATGGAGAATATCCATATTTCTAGATTATCCGATTTTGTGAAAGTAACTTTACTTTTGAAATTATTATTTTTTTAAATAAATAAATAAAAGTATAACTAAAATTGTTATTTCTTCTTTCAAATGTTTAATATCTACCTGTAAAGGTATTCATTTGACATTGTGGGTTACCTACAATGCGGAGATGGCGCTGTCTTGCAGCCCAAGAAATACTAGAAAAATTTCGACACGGCCATCCACCCGGATAGCGGAGGTTGCGTGTCCGCGTGGATTTCTTTATAGTAAAATTTTCTTTAGAATTTAATATTCTTTGTATTTAGTGTCGATTTTTTTCATTTTATTTTCTTACAACTCGTGATCAATTTAATAAAATATTTTTAACCGAACTAGGAACCAAGATTTAGCATGAAATTCTTTCATTACTATAGGTAGGTTCCTCTTTTCTTATACATGCAAACGAGACTCCGTATGAACAAATATATTATTTATCGCACTGAGACAATTTTCCAGAAACATAAATAACACAGAAATATAAAAGCATTGGTGTCGTGTGAGGCGGGTCGTTGCGTTCCCTAAAAAATGGTTGAGCGAAGCGATAGCTGGTTCATGCGTCATGCTCGTGAACGGGTGCTGCCAGCGGAGATGAATCTGCTCTTGCTTCATTGAGGACTATTAATCGTTGTACTAAACTTTAATCGTTCATTATTATTTTTTTGCCTGAACACATCATTCCTAAACTTTGTTATACCAGTCTTTTAAATATATTTTTTATTTTATAGTCATAATTTTTATATTATTTGCATTTGTAATGGAAAAGTAACTTTATGAGTTACCTCATATTGAAGTCATTTTTCAATTTGACAACTCTGTATATTATAATACAGGGAGAAAAAACAGCCCTTACTGAGTTTCTTGGTTCCGGTTCTTCTCAGTACAAGGTCTTCCGCCGTAGATTTGCGAACCAATTGCGTAGCTTTTCGACATTCACAAGTGCTTGTAACAGCCTACTGAATAAACGATATTGATTTTTTTTTATTTTATTCCTAAGGCAGCAATCTCTACCAGGCAACCCTCAAGATCTTTCAAATTAAATTATATATCTCTAATTCTCTATTTTTGATTCATAAATTACTCTTATGTAACTTCTAAGTTCTCCAATAAAAGTAAATGATAGACATATTACACCAAATCTATATTCGCTTTCTATATCCCTTTATCTCGATAGAGCATGTTCACGTTAGAAAGCCGACACGGGTACGCTCTGTTTGGTAGCCTCAAACCTTGCACCTACATTTAACGTTCATTGATTCACAGTATGTATAAATATACCCATATAGTAGTAAGACTTTAAATTGGCACAGAATTTTTATTTAAAAGATAATAATCAAAAAAAGAACAGCGTGTGTACAAAGTACGCATGTCAGAAGTGAAACGAACTTTCATAATAATAATTATAAAAATACCTATATATTAATATAAACGAAAAACAAAGAATCCTTCTTTCAAAATTTAAAATCGTCGCACTAAAATCTGACGCACAAAAAGTGACGCGGCATTGAAAAGTTACCATCATCGCGCGCATAGAAGTTTCACTTCAAAAAAAATTCTCAGTTTTTTTTATTGTTATTTAATTTTATATTCATACTAGCGGACCCGACAGACGTTGTCCTGTCTACACGTCTTTGTGAATCTAAACCATTCTCAGATCCCCTTGAACACACACAAAAAAATTCATCAAAATCGGTCCAGTCGTTTAAGAGAAGTTCAGTGACATACACACTCGCAGAAGAATTATATATATAAAGATTGTTATCAAAGTGGCCACATTGAATACGTTTTCATTCACAAAATGACACTAGGGTTTAAAAGGAGAGCAAAACCACTTTCAAATTATGAGACAAGGAATTGGGAACATCTTACCATTCTCAAAATTATTAAACACTAGCGGCTCGCCCTCGCTTCGCTTCGGTGTAGAGCTGAAGTGTAGACTACAGTTTTTTTCTCAGGCTTGTATTATACACAATGACATTCATCTATGAGTCTTCTTATACTTGCATGCAAAGTCTCAGCCCCATCGGTTTAAAATTGGCAAAGTTTCATACAAACTTCCATTCCCTATTTTATCCCCTTGGGGGTAGAATTGATCAAAATCCTTTCTTAGCGGATGCCTACGTCAAAACATCTACCTGCTTGCCAAATTTCAGCCCGATCCGTCCAGTGGTTTCAGA